AACATCAGTCTGCGTAGATTCCTCACACTGCTAAAGACCAATATTGCTTTGTCAGAGTTGATGATAAAATGGTTATTGCCAGTGACTGCTTTTACCTCTTATATTCAAAATGTTCCATCTGAATAACTGCCACTAACTCTTAATGTGCACATAGTGCTCTAAACAGACAATTCTGCATTCATGGGTTGTTTTAGAAGCTAGAAATCCTTTTCTTTCAAGAGACTTGGGCCTTAGGACCTTCAGATCTTCAAAGGTTATCTCTTATTTCATCACAGCTAGACCCAGTCTGAAAGGAAGCTGTGCTCTTGGGTTATAAGCATCTTAATGTGTACTAAATTGCATGCTGACATCTCACTGGCTTTAATATGTGAACTATAGCTATAGCTTCCCCCTTAACATTTGGTTCTACCAACTTTTTCTATTAAAACCTCATAGTCTTATTTCTCAAATTAACATCTCTTGACCCAGTCTCCAAATTCAGTATTGTATTAATAATCACAGGTGATTTTAATGCTAGGATGGAACTCAGCAATGACTTCCTGCTCCCACACTCTAACATCCCATGTTTCTCCCTACCTGTATTGGCTCCTTGGAAATCTGAAGAAAAAGACATCAATATGGGAATGGGGCAGAGTGGAGATTTGTTTTAATTGGCAGCAAAATTTGGTTTGAAGATCCTCAGTGGATCTTCTCCAGGTGACACCTTCTGGGACTCCAGAGGAACCTCCATTGCAGACTGTATGCTAATTTGATGATTAGCTACATGATAATTCTGCCCCACATTCTTGAAACTTTAAGATTGGTTTCCATCTTGACTGTGATCACCTGATCACCTAAATTGCAGTCTAATTTCTTGAATCATTGCAAGTCAGTAATTTGAAACAGATTATCGGCACAACCAGCAATATTCATGAAAGGTTTGTCACTTTTCAGAAAATTACTGCTTTAGCTCATGACTGTTCAAAGTCTAAGTCAGTAATTTGAAACAGATTATCGGCACAACCAGCAATATTCATGAAAGGTTTGTCACTTTTCAGAAAATTACTGCTTTAGCTCATGACTGTTCAAAGTCTAAGTCAGTAATTTGAAACAGATTATCGGCACAACCAGCAATATTCATGAAAGGTTTGTCACTTTTCAGAAAATTACTGCTTTAGCTCATGACTGTTCAAAGTCTAATCAAACTCCATTCCACTATCACTCTAACAAACATTCCAAACCTTGGTTTGGTAAGAATTATGTTCAGACCAAGGCTATGGTAAATTCAGCCTATAGAAACATTCAGTTTTATCATGATTCTCCCTCTTGTGAAATTTTTCATTTACTAAAAAAAAGGAATATAAAAAGCTTCTGAGGAAAAACAACAAAATGACTCATTAGTGAAATGACAAGGCTCCAACAAGCAGTAACAAATTAGGATGATCATCTATTGTGGCATCTTGTTTCTCACATTCAGATAAACCCAGCTCCAGTGCCAGTGATTTTATCTGTTTAGAATCCTGGACAAGATATTTTGGCAACTTACTCAGTGTTCCTTTTGGTGGTGATTCTCTTGGGCCCTCTTTATCTGATCCCTAGCCCAGTTGGCCCCAGGTTTCACAATCAGAAATCCAAAAACTAATGTCTCAGTTGAAAAGTGGCAAAGCCCCAGGTAAAGATAAGATTTTGCCAGAATTGCTGAAAATAAATCCTGACTGGTTGGCCTCTCTGTTAGCCTCCATGTTTACTGCCATTAAATAGCTCTTTATCACTCCCCAAAGAGTGGCTTAATTCTATCTTTCATCCAATATACAAGAAAGGCGATAGACAAAATCCTGCTAATTATTGCCCAATTAGTTTATTGTCAATAATTAGCAAACTCTGTCCTTGATTTTTATACCATAAACGTTTAGATTAGAATATTTTGGCTTATGAATAAGCAAGTTTTAGATCAGAATATTCCACCATGGATCAATGTGCAATTTTGCATGATTTAGCTGAAAAATAAGCAT